TGGGTATTAAAGAGGGCACGTTCTGCATGGAGCACTGGGTGTTATGCACAAACAATGAATCATGGAACACTACATCTAAAACTAATGATGTAATGTATGGTGATTAACATAACAGTAAAAAAATTTAAAAAAAATTCTCCTTTGTCAAAGAAACTAATTATATATATATTGTTCACTCCCTTATTTTTCTTCATGAAGCAAATATTAGTAACACTTTAAGGAAATAAAGTTTCTGCTGATGAATCTGAACTTCTGTTTCTTCCTTTAGGGGAAAGATTGCATCTTAAACCAAAATACACTAAAATTTCTCACATTTCCATTTTCCATATTTATAGGCCAAGATAAGTATAGCAAAATGTTGTAGAACTATCTCTATACTTAACTAATAATAGAAAGCAGAGCTGTAGATAAACAGTACTGCATTCAGAGGAATAGTTGGTACAATTTACAGTGTTTAGTATGAATTTTTTTTGTAATAGCAGAGCAGTGAGTGGGAGTACATTGTGGTAGGAGCAAAAGTACTGAGTTAAGGAACCATCTGGTGCATTTGGGCTTTGGTGATTATGCTCCTTGGGTTGAAGAGGAGTATTGTAATGGGAGAAAACTTGGAAATCTCACGGGCATAGTCAAATCTTGGATCCCATTAATGACTCAGGAGTCTAGATTTTATTCTAAAAGCAGAGCAGCATAGATTACAGCTTATTGAACTCAGAAATGAAAGGTTATAAGATATTTGAGGGGGATTAAAGTGAGAGCTATAAAGATGAATTGGTGCTAGGAGTGACAGCACACAGAGAAATGAGTTTGTTTTGTTATGCTAGGGTTCAGTGTCTGAAAGTAAAGATGGAAGGATGCTGGTATAAGGTCTTAATGCAGGAGACATTTTAATAGAAGAACTAATTGTAGATGATGACAGGAGTTTTAGGAGTAGATGAGAAGGGTAGGGATTGGGAAATGTTGACTATGAATGTAGAAGAATGGAAGAATCATGGTATCATTGATAACAGAATGTTTGCAGTTGAAGTTATTTTAGGCATGTTGAGTGTAAGAACTTTCAAAAAGCATTATACCTGTCAAGATTTGAACTCTAGGGATGTATAGTACAGTTTGGAGATTATTAAGGCTTTGAAATTAATTTGGATGGAGATGATAATTTTATCACCAAAATATTGAGAGACTTATTGTTTCAAATGTTGAGTCAACCAGTCTGTCGTCAGGTGTGTTTGGGATTGTTTTGAATGATATCTGCCCTGTTACATGGAATGTTGACCTAGACACAATTTAACGTGTTGATGTCTTTATAGGAAACTTGTTTTATAAGATGGAACTGCTGACTATGTATTCATGATAATCAAAGTCCTAGTAGATTTAAAATAAACTTCTTTGAATTTCTCCCCTTAACACTATTCCTTCTTCTTAGTTATATGTTTAAAGTGATGATGGTAGGTGTCTTATGGATAGGACATAGAAGTCAGTCATTTGCTCTAATTGTTGGTTAATTTGTTAGCGTATATTTAAACCTACATGTGATTAAAATACATCTTGAAGAAAATTTATCTCAATCTATTGGTTGAAGTTTTCTTTTTTTTTTTTTTAAGATATCATTTATTTATTTGACAGAGAGAGACACAGCGACAAAGGGAACACAAGCGGGGAGTGGGAGAGGGAGAAGCAGACTTCCTGCTGATCAGGGAGCCTGATGCTGGGCTCGATCCCAGGACCCTGGGATCATGACCTGAGCCGAAGGCAGACGCTTAACGACTGAGCCACCCAGGCGCCCCTTGGTTGAATTTTTCTAAACAAGCATACATTGGTTATTTTTATTCATTACAACCTAGGTTTTCAGGTTTATAGGCCTTCCAGCATTTGGCGCATTGATAATACTCATGATGAGAGGGTAATCCTTCTGTTGCAGGCACGCTTTCAAAAGTGTGCATTCCTTTCAGTTGTTTTTGATACAAGTTCTCGATGAGCCATACACTGCATTTTATTATTTGTAAATGTGAATGTATAGGTCGTCACCTCCGTTCAGAAAAATTGAATTTATCACTGACTCCATATTTGAAAATGTAAAACATTATCCTCAAGTATGTAGTGAGTATTCATGTATGGTACATTCAAAGTATGACTTAGTGTGACTTTATGTAGCCCATATGATGTTTAAAGCACTCCAACCCTGTTGTGTTTCAGTGCACCTGCCGGAAAGACATGGTGAAAATCTCAATGGATATCTTTGTGAGGAAATTTCAGCCAGACAGATATCAGCTTTGGAAACAAGGAAAGGATATATACACCATTGATCACACAAAGCCTACTCCAGAATCCACACCTGAAGTAAAAGCATGGCTGCAGAGAAGGAGGAAAGTAAGAAAAGCATCCAGGAGGTAATGATTTCTTCACCCGCATCCCACTTGTTGTACCTACTCAATAAAAATGAGTCATTGAACATGATGTTCTCAAAAACTATTCATTTGCTTCCTCCTGTTTATTCATCATAAATTTACTTAATATCTTACTGAAAGTTTGAGGCAAAGTATTTATAATTCTTAAGAAGTATAATAAATAAAATATAGGAAGGGGTGTATAATGTTCTTGAGAATATTCCTGACATGCTATGCATGGCAAAAGAGCAGTCCTGGAACCTCCTGGACTCCTTACACTAATGTACATTAAAGTTGTATTAGTGCCCTCTGTTCATCTCCATGTTTATCAACTCCAATAACTTGATGTTGAACTTTTTCATTTTGCTACTGATTTTCTTTCTGACTTTAATTGTTTTCTTCATTTGTCAAACATTTGAGATACTTTACTCATCAGGATACCTGTATTTTGCTACATTTTATACACTTGGTTTTATTATTTTACAATATGTAAAGCAGAGCATGTGGTATTTGTTTAATATGGTTGTCCATGTGAACTTTATTCCAAATTCCATTTTTGTGGCCAGGACCATTTCAAAAGTTTTTAGGTCATCTGTGTGCATCTTGCTATCTTAAAACCCATTGAATGGAGCGTGTGTTATGTTGCTTAGGTCTTTGGCAAACTTTTTAGGTTCTTATATTTTCTAGGTTTATATTACACTTTTATTCTCCAATATTACTCATTGTTTTTCTTTCAGATTGTAAAAGTAATATTTGACATTGGAGAATATTTGTTAAATAAGGAAAAGAATAGTGAAGGAATCCCAAATCACTCATAACGTCACAATCCAGAGATAACCAGTGTTAACATTTGGTAGATATCCTTTACATATGTGTTTATTATATTATTTCCAAAATTGGGGCCATGCTCTGTTAACCCTTTGATGACCAGTTTTGTGTTTTTCATGTAATTAAATGATTTGGTACAAAATAATACTGAATGCCTGCATGTATTTAATCCCCTGTGTTTGGATCAATAGCTCATTTCTAGTTGTTTTTTGTTTTTGTTTTTGTTTTTTGCCATTAAATAACAGTGTAATTTTAAACTTTGCCCACACTTCTGATGCTTATTTTCTTACTCTGACATTTATTTTCTGCTATTTTAGAATGGTAGTGAGTGGAGGAAACTTAAGAACATGGAGTCAGACTTCTGCATTTTATAAGAGATATACCTGAGGCACGGAATTAATAGCAGAACTAAAACTCAGGTGTTCTTAATTTACCTTATAATTTACAGCAGTGATTTTCAAACTCTTAGTTTTCAAATCAATTCAGTAGACTAGGAACAACATTTTTAAATTAGGAAGCAAAATAGCATAAAAAGTATTATAGTTCTTTTCTGTGGTAAGTATTAATTCGTGATGTGTGAACGTGTGTATGAGTGTGTCATGTCACTATCTAAAATGAAAAACTTATAATGGGTTGGTTTTATTAAAAAAAGCTTGGAAAATACTGATTTAGAGAGTCAGTGCCAAAAAGGCTGCCTGTGGGAGGAGGCAGTAGTCAATCTGAGTTCAAAAGAAATACCAATAAAACATCTTGAGAATTGTTCTTTAATGGACAGAAAACACAATACTTTAATTAGATGTATGATCTGGTCTCCTAGTTACTAACTATAGTGGCCCTTTTGGGTTGGCAGAGAACATAGATCTAGGACATTGAACAGATTTGAAATGCCTTTTAGTAGGTTAAAATAATCAATGGACTTTGATCACCCAGTTAGAAAGCCTCATGTTAAGGACCTTGTTGATTATGCTCACCCTTGTGGCCTTGATTATGGCATTTGTAATACCCTATCCAGGAAATGTAATGAAGTGAATGATTCATTGAAATCTCAAAGAAAAATCAGCCATCTTATTTTACATATGCTATGCTATTTATAATGTGAAGATTTCCCACATGTCCAATGCACGGGTTTTTGGTAAAAGTGGTAATGGTGATGATGATACCAGAACTGCCAGTAGCAGCCAAAGTTAATTTACATAGGTTATCCTTGGCTACCACCCTCATCTCAGAACTCTGCCCTCCCTGACTTCCTGTAATGCATAGTGGTGTGTGCGTGTGTGTGTGTGTGTGTGGACATGGAAATACACGTTGCTTAGATTTGAGTTGTAATTCTTCTTAAATGATAGTGTTGGAAATGTTGTGTCTTATACAAAAGGCATCTATGACAAAGCCATCAAGTGACTTTCTGGAAAATACTGAGAAGAAAAAAATTAAAATGGTGTCCACTCTGAAAACAAGAATAGGTATAAGGTGTTAAATACATAGAGCCTGTCTCCTCTGTAATTCCTTTAGCTAATAATGATTTGGCATTTAATTTTAATGATTTTCATGCATACTTAGAATTAAACGAAACTCAGGGAAGTGTATGGCCACTAGTTCACCTTAGAATGTAAATAATCTACTCAGATTTTAACAACAGCTTATAGAGATCTCCTCTTTTCCTTTATTACCTAAAATATATTTATGACTTTATTATCCCCCATGTCATCATTTTTCACTTTATTTTTATTTTCAGACTTCTTTTAATATTGTTATAAAATTTTAGAAATGACATTTCCCCCAATAATGTTTAATAATATATTATTTACAATTGTTTTAATTTTAATTTTTAGTAAATTATTGAAACTGCTGATTTCAACTTCAAATTTAATCTATTAATTGTGAAGATTATTTTTGCATAATGATTAGAAAGCTATCAGTTTTTTCACTTCTTTCAGTAAGTGAAAATAACATTTGTATTGGTATGTGTTTCATCCTATCCACTGCAAACATTCTGCTCTGACCACAGCTTCTCTTGTTAATAGTTTCCAGTGCACTGGTTCTCACTCTAAGAGGCTTAAGAATGAGGGGGACGAAGAAGTGTCACCTGCAGTTGATGGTGCAGAGGGCCTCACCGCTGACCGAGACCCAGAAGATCTCAAGGTCAATGAAAAACCAGAAAAAGCAGTGAAGATGGGGAACACAGAAGCACCTTCAGAAGAAGAGGCTTCTCCTAGCAGGAAGCAGCTGGATCAGAATTCATCAGATAATATCAAACTCCCAGGTGAGAAGCTGACTGATTATGTTTCACATGGAAGTTTTGAGGTGGCTGATGATCTGATGCCTTAAATCTCTGTTCTAGGACAAGTATCTTACCTTACCACATAGCTTAACCAGTAAGGCATCTAAAGCTATGAAGTAACAGTGAGGAGGCCAAGTGAGTGTTGTAGAAGTCTGGAGCATCGCTGCTATGTTTGATGGAATTAGGAGAGAGCCAGGTGCCTATTTGGTTTAATAAAAAAAAAGATTCTAAAACAAAAATTTTTTGGGGGGGTGCAACTCAATTTAAAATATACAATGCATTTTTGGAAAGCTTCTAAATTTACATGGAACAGTAAAAACCAATTATAGATAATTCTTTGCAGATTATTAGCTTTCAACTTAATTTTAAGAAGAAAATAAAGATTAAGGTTTTAAAAAAGAATAATAAAAATCATTCAGTTTTGTGAAATGCTATGTATAGTCCCCTGGCTGTTTCTCTGTACTAAAGGCATCACCTGTAAGTCTCAACTAGTTTGCTTTCTTCCCTTTTCTAGTATATGTCTCTGAAACTGCTTTAATGTTTTACCTCTTAAATATTTGTTGGAGTTTTTGTCCTTTTACTAATTGAGCTTATTGGTAATTTCTCATACTGCTCATCCAGTCTGTCTTTCAACTGTGGGACCCCCCCAAATCTGGCCATCTACCCCTGCTTCCTCCTTATTCAGGGTACAGTTATCTCTTGATTGGACTGTTGCAGAAATTGCTTCTTTTCTGTTTTTTCAGTGTCCAGTCTAGTCACCCATGCTAGTTGCTTCTCCATGTGGCAGTCAGAGTGATCCTTTTAAAAGATGTAGGTGAGGTCTTGTACCTACCTTCTTGCTCTTATTCCACTTAGAGTAAAAGAAAAAGTCCTTATCATAGTCCTAATTTGATTCTCTCCTGTGTCTCCATTTTCATTACTTTTTGCTCTTGAAATATCTGTGTTTAAATAATAGACTTTCTTTTAGTGACTTAATACTTTATTGGAGAGCTAGACAAACATACAGTTACAATCCAATGTGGTAAGTACCACAATAGAGATGTCCTAGGGTATTGCTGATATAACAAGGAAAGATTCCAAACAGACCAGAGGCTGGCCTGGCAAGGTTTCCTGGAGTAGGTGATATCTGAATTAATTTGTGATGAATGGATAGAAAATTTCAAGGTGGAGAAGGTAGAGAAAGGAATAGCAAGCAATGCAGAGAACACAGTTATGCCATACATATGGATTTTTAAAAAAATATTTTATTTACTTATTTGAGAGAGTGAGAGAGAGCATGGGCGGGGGTGGGGGCAGAGGGAGAGGGAGAAGCAGTCTCCCTGCTGAGCAGGTAGCCCACGTGGGGCTTGATCCTAGGACCTCAGGATCACGACCTGAGCTGAAGGTAGATGCTTAACTGACTGAGCCACCCAGGCACCCCTGGATTTTTTTAATAGTCCCTCACCATAGTCTTTAATCACACTGGATTTAATTAACCACTTGATGGATTACTGGGTGGTTTAGGCCAAGGGCACCCAGTTTTATTAGTTCTGTTGCTACATGGTTCCTTGTATTTTGACTTACAGTGTTTGAGACCTGGCAGAACACTTAGGTACAAAACTTGGCTGGGCTCAGCATCAAAGGTAGTATATGATAGGTGAAATGATGCCTTTGAATGTTTGTAAGGGAGGAAGAAGGGTGAATGGAGATGGCAGTGGAAGAGACGTGCTCGTGATGTCTCTTTCCCTTTATTTTCCATCTGTGTGTGATACAGGTTTAGTGTAGGACATACTTTTTATTTGGATTTATACAGCCTTCCATGTGTTCTTTCCCTACATTCTCTGAGCTGGAATGTTTCATTAGTAGCAGCTCTTAGTATCATGTATTGGAATATAATTCCTATTTTTAGAAAGATTTCAAATTGCTATTGCTTTGGATAATTATTATTGCATTGACTTTGACATTGGTCAAAGTGTAACCTCTTTTTAATCTGTAATTTTGTCAGTAAATATATTCTTTTGCCAAACTCCAAGATCTCACCTTAATAACTGTGAAGGCTCCATGGTGCTGTGGTGACCGTTCCCACTCATGTCTATGGGAGTATAAAGGAGAAGTTGAAAGATAGAAAAAAAATTTTAAGATTTTATTTATTTATTTGACACACACACAGAGCAGTAGCAGGGGGAGAGGCAAAGGCAGAGAGAGAAGCAGGCTCCCCACAGAGCAGAGAGCCCAACATGGGGCTCCATCCCAGGGCCCTGGCTGGGATCATGACCTGAGCCGAAGGCAGACGCTTAACTGACTGAGCCACCCAGGTGCCCTGAAAGATAGATTTAGTTGAGAATTATTATTGAGTAATAATGTAATGTAAGATTTACTAACAGTCTTTTGTTTCACTCCTCAGGAAATAGTTGCTTAAGCACATCTATAACAGAGGAAATAAAAACTAAGGATGACCAAGCCTATGGTGTAATTCTACCTTCAAATCCCAGTGAAGCTGATGATTCCATATCTAGTGGCCATGTGACATCCAAGGAGTCAGACCCATCGAAGCTTCCATGGCCAAAGTCACCTGAGTCATGTTCCTCAGTGGCAGAGAGTAACAGTGTGTTCACAGAGGGAGAAGAGAGTGATGTGGAGAGCCGCAGGAGTGGCCTCGAACCTGGGGAAGTCCCAGCGGTCTCCAGTGGAAAGAGAAATGGCCTCGAAGTCCCTGGTGTATGTGGCAGTGTCTATTTTTACTATATTTATTGTGTGGTGAGAGTATTTTCTGGAAACAGCATGCTGTGCATCAAAATCTTGCTTTAAGGTAGAAATAACATTTCACATTAACAGGTCTTAATCATATTTCCTTCAATGACTGGAAGGTAAACCTTTTGTGACCTCTGGTTCCCATGGTGATAATTTAGAGAGCATGGAATTTTTGGCTACATGCTGTAGCTTAACTTTCTTTTTCTTTAACTTTTTCTAAAATTGAACTTTGAGATAATTATAGATTCATATGCAGTTGTAAGAAATAATATAGAAAGATCTTGTATCCCCATTTTCCCCCAATAGTACCTTCTTGGAAAACTGTAGTAGGATATCACAATGATACTGACATTGATTCTATTGGTTCTATTACCTGTAATATTAACCATACTGGAAATGATTCACCTGCAGAGCTCTGACCTCCTCCTGCCATCATTTAAACCCCTCGGTTCCAGGCTTCCCACAGCCTCTATTTTAACTCACCTGGTCGTGCTTTCCCTTGTCTCTACCTGGGCTCTGATTCTAGGACCAGGTTGACCTTTCTGGCCCCACTCACTGACAGAAATAGGCCTTTTGCCTTTCAGAAAACTCAAGACCTCTCTTGATTGCTAGGTACCCCATTCTAACTCTTTGCATAGGGCCTCCCTGTTTCTTATATGTTCTTGTGCATTTATATTATATGCTTTTAGTATACACTGTTGCTTTAATCCTAAGATTGTGAATGGACCAGACAAACTCCGATTGTGTGTAGTGATTGTCAGGATTCATTACCCTGTGTTGACCTATACAACTTGATGACGGAACTCAAGGACACAAGTAAGGAGAGTGCCAATTTTGGAGCTGATAAATTGAGCTGGCCACTGAACAGACCCACTTATTGATTGCTCTTGCTCAGTTCAACTCACCACAGGCATTTTCACATCTTTAAATAACAAGGGAGATTAGATAAGGAAATCAGCTTGGAATAGTCAGTTCATAGTAGTTTTAAAATATCAAATAAAGGGACACCTGGGTGGCTCAGTCAGTTAAGTGTCTGCCTTTGGCTCAGGTCATGGTCCCAGGGTCCCGGGATCGAGTCCGCAATCAGGCTCCCTACTCGGTGGGGAGCCTGCTTCTCCCTCTCCCACTCCCCCCTGCTTGTGTTCTCTCTCTCTCTCTGGCAAATAAATAAATAAAATCTTTTAAAAAAATACCAAATGAAATATAGATAATTTGCTAATTTGACCCAATAACTTTTACCATTTTATGCATGATTGTATACCTACTGAACTATTAAATATTTGTCAAAAACATATGAGAAATAGAAAAATATGGTCTAATTTATTTGAAATGGTTGCTAAAGGAAATTTGAAAATAGTATTCACATAATAATGAGCAAAATTTACAACTTAATTTTACATGGGGATTAAGCGCAGCTGAGCAGATACTGTGATTCTTTGTGGAATGGTGAATGAGTCAAATGCCGGTTTAAATTACATTTACTCATATTCTTTAAACTAGAGTGGAACTGAAAGTAACTTTTCTATTTCCTTGTTTTCAATGGAGGTGATTCTACCCTCAGTGCCTTTAACCTTTATCCTTATCATTTTACTGAACAAAGACTGTCTGCATACGAAAGCAAACACTGCCCTTGAGGCCTGAGTGACTTGGTTTGCCCCTTCTCAGAATCAGCTGTGTGATATTCTTTTCTCACACCATGGTGTCAGGCAGCCCTTCTAAGCAATACAGACCCATTTCGTTCTTATATGGTTTTGACTGTGTTTCTTAGTATTAAGTGTAATGCTGTGTATATGCTTGCAGCAGTCAGCTTTAGTCAGTTTTCCCAAGAAATAGGTTATTTTTTGAACAGTGTCTGTCTCTGTCTATCTATAACTGGGCTCCATGCTCTTCCTAGAATACACTGAAAATGTTTACATCTTACATGCTGTTCCTGCTGCCCTAAATACTCCTCTGAGCCCAAAGAGCTCCCTCAGTGCACTCAAGACTCCACTCAAATGTCTCCTTGTCAGAAAGGCCTTCTCTGATGGCCCCATGTAAAATAGCTCCTTCCCATCTCTTTCCATTCCTTTGTTCTGCCCTTTTTTCCTTTATTGCACATTTTGTAAAAAAAACAAAAAAACAAAAAAAACTATTTTCTTGAGAGAGAGAGAGAGAGCGTGAGCATGAGTGGGAGGGGCAGAGGGAGAGGGAAAGAGAATTTGAAGCCAACTCCACGCTGAGTGTGGAGCCCGATGTAGGGCTCAATCTCATGACCCTGAGATCACAACCTGAGCCGAAACCAAGAGTTGGAGGCTCAGCTGACTGTGCCACCCAGGTGCCCCCTATTGCATATTTCTTAATGCTAAACATATACTTTTTACTTGTTTATCGTTTGTGCCTTCCTCCTCTATAATGCACATTCCTTGAAAGCTGAGACCTGGTGTAGTTTTTCCTGCTGTAGCTTAGTTCTTACAACAATGTGGCACATAGTGAGGACTTGATAAATATTTCATATTAATTTTTAGCTGGTATAAACCACAGATATATCTCACCCTGTATTACCTTTTTTTTTTTTTTTTGAGGGGGAGGGGCAAAAGGAGAGGGAGAGAGAGAATCTTAAGCAGACTCCATGCCCAGTATGGAGCCTGATCCGGGGCTCGATCTCACGACCCTGAGATCATGACCTGCGCTGAAATCAAGAATCAGACACTTAACTGATTGAGTCACCCAGGTGCCCTCATTCTGTATTATTTTGACATCCTTTCCTTACTCCCAGCTTTGATTAGAATGTTGTCACACATTTTCTCATAATACTGTTTTGGTGTCAGAAGCCAGTATAGTTTCTGTACTTCCAGCCACTGCTTCTTCAGCTTACAGGGACATTTCTGAGACTCCTTTCTTTCCTAGTCAATTGTTGATGCAAACCCATTAGTTTCAAACTCTTTCTCTGAGATCTACCCCCGTCACATCCTGGTTTTTGTTGTTGTTGTTGTTGTTGTTTTGAGTGCATGGGCAAGAAAGCTTGTAAGGAGGTTCTATCCAAAGATGTCAAGGGGCATATGGCCTTTTCATATACCTTTGGAAGGAAAATATAGTTTGGAGAGACCAAGACAAAAAATTTTATATAAAATTTAAGTGGTTTCAAGATGACCGTAATGTACTATATTAAAAAAAAAATCTTTAAATTTCTTATTTGATCTTCAGAAAAGTGGTGATTCGTTTTTGAATGGAAGGAAGCATACAGGATCACTTTGGCATTATTGCTTTCTGGATAAGGATAGAAAGCAAAATAACCTGCCAGATTTTCACATGTGGCCAGCATAGAGGTGACCAAGTGCCACAGTTCTATATTGTTATGAATATATAATCCTAAATTTAGATTAGTTTGAAAGAGCTTTTGAAAACTTGCTAACTGCTGAGTTAATTGCAAGTTTGATAAGCCTACCCTGCACCACAGATAGTGTTTTAATATGCACTGGAAGGATAGTTAATTGATCTCTTGGTTAAATAACTAATAGAATGGATTCCTATTCCTTTTGACTTACAGGTTTAAGACTTTTTTTTTTTTTTTAAGGACTAATTCCCCAGGAGGTAAATAAGTATAAGAATTCTTTATAATTAATTGACATAAATCATTGTGAACCATGGTTTTTCATTCAAAACAAGTCTTTAACTGTGTTTCTTCTCCACTTTTGTTCTGTGACCAGAGAATAGAGGGAGAAACCAAAACTGCTAAAAGTTGGCGCCATCCACTGAGTAAGCCTCCAGCAAGATCCCCACTGACTCTGGTGAAGCAGCAGGCAACAAGTGATGAAGGTGAGCTTGTGATGTTTTGCAGTGTTTATTCTGATGATATTCAGCATTCATTCTGTTTGTTATAACAAACTTGTCTAAAAATTGCTTGGTAGAGCGGAAATTTGACCAAGTTGAAAAGACATACATACCATAAGGAGATCATAAGTAATAAATAGTTTACAGGCAAAAGGAATTTGGATCTTAAGGGTAAATCCTTGCTTCATATAAGCTAGCTATGTTCCTAGACAAAGGTTTCCCATTTTATATGATGGGATAAAATTGGTCTTTTCTGACATTCACCTTAAGATACTCTAGAGGAAGTTGAGAATCACTTCTCTAAAGGTGCCAAATCATGGAGTTACCATGCTGTAGGTTTCTTTGCATTGTCTTTATTTTTAACTTGAGTCCTTTAAAATTATTAACACCATCTTGAGTAAGAAACTATGTGTAGTACCTCCCTATCCTGTTATGCCTGGTATGTGGTGAAACATCTTTTCTCCTTTACTAGATTTTACTGACGTGGCTTGATGTGAAGTAGTTTCATTTACAACCAGTTACTATTCCTGGATGTAAAGTTTATCTTATGTGTTACCTGGCTACCCTTTTTACCTCTCTTTTTCCAAAAATGTCTTTTTGTTGCCTTCAATCAAAAATCAGACCACTGACTAGCTATTTCTTCCTTGCAAGTGTCTCATAGCATCAGGGGGGCCTTATTTTTTCCTTCTCTAAAAAGTTCAGTTTAAATAGATTTTCTATAAAAAACCTTTCTTCAAAGTATTGTCCTTTACTGGTGTAAATTGTTAAGGTCATGTGCCTGTGCAGATGCTGTCAATGGAGTAATGTGAACCTTGGGTTCAGGCTTCTTGTTTGATTTGAATACAGTCATCAGAGTAGACATCTGTAGCAGATTTTTTTCTTTTTTACTCACGGTCTTCTTTTATACCCCATGGTTAGTTAGGAAAAAAGATCATCAATGTAGGGATCAGATAATGATTGTAGCAATTTCTAGAACAGCAGCCAAAGGTGGAATTCTGTCTCTAGTAATACAAGTAGTGAAACATATTCATGTTTATTTCCAATATCATCATGTTCATTTCTTCTTTCTCCTACTTTATCGTACCCAGCACAAACCATTTTCCCCTTAGTGTCAAAATAAGGAAAATTCCAAATAAGGTAATTACTGCTTACTGTACATTACTTTTGAATTTTAATTACCCTTCTCCATCATCACCTGTGTTTAGTGTAGCTTTTTGGAAGGGAATGGATTATACTAACACATAAGAAAAACTACTTTCTCCTGTGTCCTTATTTTCCCAGGTGGTTTATTTCGATGTGGGCCATCATAAATTGGCCTGGAGTTTCTCCATGGAGAGTAGTTCTGATTTCAGTCAGTATGGCTTAGAAAATTTTTAAGTGAATTGGTTTAACAAAGTCATCTCAAGCATTTAAGATTAAATGTCTTGCTGAAACATTGGGGTGACTGTAGCTTTTGCAGTCATACGCTCTGTATTTTAATATGTTAAGGACATAGTAAAAGGGTCCTCTGAGGATTTTTGAGAATTGAAAATTAAAAAATCAGAGAGTTTTAGTGATGACTAAATATTTTTACAAGTTTCCATACTAACAATGGGGAATATTCTGCATCCTGGAGTATATTATATTTGACCCTTTGAATTGTGTGGGTCCACTTATAAGTGAATTTTTTTGATAAATACAGTACAGTACTGTAAATGTATTTTCTCTTCCCTATGATTTTCTTAATAAAATTTTCTTTTTGGGACGCTTGGGTGGCTCAGTCGGTTAAGTGTCTGCCTTCAGTTGAGGTCATGATCCCGGGGTCCTGGGATGAGTCCTGCTCCTTGCTCTGTGGGAAGCCTGCTTCTCCCTCTGCCTGCCCCTCCCCCTGCTTGTGCTCTCTCTCTCTCTGACAAATAAAGTCCTTAAAAATATATTAAAAAAATAAAATTTTCTTTTCTCTAGCTTACTTTATAGTATGAATACAGTATACAATACATATAATATACAAAACATGTGTTGATTGACTATGTTATTGGTAAGGCTTCTGGTCAACAGTAGGCTATTAGTAGTTAAGTTCTGGTGGAGTTCAAAGTTATATGTGGATTTTCAACTGCATGGGGGTTTGGCCACCCTAACCCCCAAGTTGTTCAAGGGTCAACTGTATTTATATCATGGGGCCCTTGAATGTTACCTCTGCCTTTTACCTCTGTGCATGGTACAGTTGGAAGTGAATGAACGTCACCATTATTAGAAAATGATGAACAGTGGGATTAGTGCTCATTGGGGGCACACAACTCCAAATCCAGCTTCTTTTGGAAATTTTTCTACCCTAACTACTGGGCTCCTTTTGCATTCCTCATATACACGTAGGTGTATGTCAGTCAGGAGCATAACTAGGTTAGAGCATCTGAGAACTTGTCTCTAAACAACAGTTTAGTCTTCTGCTGGTAAATGAGCATTTCTCTACTGAAGCTGGAATTTGACTCCCTAACAGAAAAACAACAAAGGGAAAAAAATATTGATCCAGAACCTCTGGGAATTTATGTGCAGCTAGGAATTAAGAGTCACCGCTAAGTTGCTCTTCTCAAAGGACGGTGAAGTGGGCTCTTTGATATTCAAATGATGTGAAACTATAGAGACCATTCTGGTTAGTGGCAGATCCAGTAATTACAGAATCTGCAAGAATTTTCTGACTCTTAGCCTGTTCTTTTCCTGGAAGATTTTCCATGCTTACCAGCAAAACACTGGTTGTTGGTCGTAGAGCAGAGAGGGGATACATAAGAAAAGAATGGTGTTAGAATATAGTGTCTTTACTTAAAAACTAGTATCTAATTCTTCTTTGTTTTTGTTTTTGGTGAAAAAAAATCTTAAGTGTATACTGAATTGTATACTGAAATGTATACTGAAAATGTATACTGCCTCTGGTTTTCTTTTAATTGAAATGTTTTTCAGTTACATTTTTCCTTAAGTTAGGCAGCTTACAAGGTGACCCTGAAACATGGATTAATATTCTATATTTTTTCTGTTTATTAAAGTAATTATACAAATGTTGAATTACAACATAAACTTGAAAGAGTTGGGTGGGTCATTTTATTTTTGAAGCATTCCTTATACATATACCTATCCTCCTCTTGTGATATGTCAACATAATAGCATATTCCTGTTCTCCAATTTCAGTGCTTTGTGGTTGAGTGCTTGTTCAGGAGAGTGTGTGTGCAGCAGGGGTGGACCAGGCTCCAAGAACAACACTCTTGCCTGGCCTCAGAACATACTGAGAGTGAGGGGATAGACCCACTAGGGTTGACAAGCTCAGAAATCTGCCACAGTATTTCTTTTTCCTTGGTTGGTGAAGATGGGGGCTCAGAGGCTCTCACACATTTCCTTTAATATTCCAGCTTTGATACAGGATAAGTGACTTTAAGGCCATCATGATCCATCCAGTACCAGCTTCGCTCCCCAGTTTCATTCCCCTCAACTACCCTCCATGAATCCTCCTCCTTTTCATCCATTTAAACAACTTATTTTTTCTTTCTCAATGTAATCTACTGCTTTTTACTTCCATGCACTTCCCCCAATTACTGCTTTACTTGTGCTGCCATTTTCCTTCTTGAATCATTCTCTGCTCATCACTTCTCCTTTCCTACTTTTGCTGTCCTGTTATATGCATACTTACTTAGCTTTAGAATGCCACTTGTCACTTTATATTGTGCTTCATTATTTGTCTGTCTCCCTACTCTCACTCCTTTCATCTTGCCTTCCCTGCCTAGTCCAAGGTTAACCACTGTGGCTTAAATCACCCGTGGTTCCAAAAGCAGGAAAGCCCTGGTGATCAGTAACTTTGAAATCAGCCATTAGTCAAATACTTTAATATGATATATGCTTTCATGTTAAAGGAAAATGTAAGTTCTTGTTCAGGAAATGTTCTCTGTATGTGTATATGTATAGGAAAACATGCAGTTTTAATTAGCTGGAGAAATATATATACCAGCTAACCCAGTTTTGTATTCCGACTGTCTTAGAATCTTCTCTACCACTGTGCAAATCCTAGGACATGCTCAAAGTTAAAATGAAGCCGCCACGTTGCAGACATGGCCAATGCCTTGGAGACCTGAGGGCCCCCAGAGTAATGATATCCCAGTGGGATAGTTGCTTGGCTAGCACTGCAGTGTGTATTTGTATTTGTTGCCTTTCTTCCCAGTTTGAGGTCCTTCAGATTCAAAAATATGTTTAACTCCTCATGCTTTTGCTGACTAGGGTTTTCATCAGCAGCACTCTATCGTGCTGACACAGACTCCAGACCTCTTCCTATACTGGATATTCTGAACATGAATTTTGTCAGACCCCCTGCCTGACCCCTCATGGTTCATTCTTTGTTCTCTGAAGCTATCATCCTGCATATATGCATGCATTTCTTTTAAATTTACATTTGTTTTCGATGTAAATTTTCCAGCTTTTCCCACTATGGACTTTCAAGATGTTTACTGCTTTTGTACTTACTGTGCACCTAACTCCCTTGGTGAATTGATAAGTTTACTGTTTCTCAAGCAAGTGTGCACTAAGGACAGCTCCATGAATACACAGGAGGCATCATGAATATGTAGTGGCTGATGCAGTAATACTCTACACAGTGATCCCCACCGGTGTGGGTGGCGGTTGGAGTTGACATAAAATGCTGTCAAGTGGAGTTTTGCTGGAGACTTTGAAAAGTAAGTTGAAAGTTTGTAAGAAAATATACAAGACTGTTATCAGGTGATCTTAATTTTGTTTTGTATATTGGTAATTTTTCATAGTCAAATACATTTTTTTTTTAATTTGGGCAAAAATGTATTTTAAAGAGACATGGAGTGTCAAGGTCTGATGGATTAGATTACCAAATAATCCTCCAATTACAAAAGAACTAGAAATAATTGATAAAATAAATCAATCAACCTTTATACATGCATGGCAGGGCAGAACCACATAAAGTATTTCTCCCTGACTACAGTCATGGTCACCTGGCTCCA